TGTCTGCAGGACAAACATTTGAAATCATGAAATTATGCTCTTAGGGGTGAGCAAGTGAATATACACTCAGGCAACCATACCTTCCTTTCCTGGGGTTCCCCTGCTGCCCAGCTCACCATGGAACAACCGTCACACCACAGGAAACGTTCAGGCTCCTGCTCCAGCCATGTGTGGCCAGGATGGGCCCCTCACTTTAGGGCAGTGGTGTCCTGTATGTGCCAAGGTCTGTCTCGGCAGTCTCCTGTTAATTAAAGCAGTGGGACAGCTTTTTCTGTTTCTTCTCCCTGAATGTGCTATTTTGGCAAAAATCGGCTTCATGAATTCTAGAAGAGTGAGTCAGAAATGTGTTTTGGTCTTGTTAGCCTCCTAGGTCTCATCTTGCTGTTTAAAGGAGAGAATTTCAAATCACCAAAAAAAAGGAAATGCAGTAAGATCTAAATAATTTGGAAATGATTCCTCAGAACCAGGAATGTTATGTTCAGACTTCTGTTTATAGTATAGTTTGTTCAAATAAAATACAGTTGCCTGGTAGGATACTGCAACAAAACCTAATGTGCCATATACTGCAACTCCTTCTAGTAATAAAATACAAATAATGAAACAATATAACATCTTATAAAACAGACAAGTAAATCTGTGTCTCATTGCTAAACGTACAAGGCATTCAGTTGGAGCTGGTATTTTTATCTCCTCACCTGAGCCTATTATATATTAGTCTGTGTATGTTGAGGATTGGCAGGTCCCTCTAAAATTTAGAAATCACTGGTAGGGCAGGACATTACATTTGTTGTCTCAGGGAGTAAGAACATATATGCATAAGAACATTTTTGTTAGGCATCTCTATTACCCTTCAAAAGGAAAAGGTTTAAATTTTTAACACCAAGGAACAATTTTAGTAGATTATATGTTACTCTTTGGTTGGGTTCCTTTATAATTTTTCTTTTAATTGTGGGGATTTTGCGAATTATTTACTGACTAGTTTTTATAGGACAGTTTACAACTGAATTTATCTGACAAAATATTCTTGCTCTTCTCTTCTACTTCTGCCATGGGCACCTGGGTAGTCTATTCCCAAGCTCTGTCCTTTTAAGTCAGTGTCTGAGGAACATGGAGATTAAAGAGGATGTGAAAATTATATAGCTAAAAAAAATATGAACTCTGCATAGAGAAGATTTCAGTCACTACCTGACTCGTTATGTGAGGTGTAACATTGGTTTATTCACGCATCTTATTTCTTTTTGTCTGCATAACTGATTTCCCATCTTCAGAAGAGCAACAAGCAATGGAATTTACCTGAGAATTGTCTATATCAGAGATTGTATGATGTTTTCCTCCATCAACTTCCACAAATCTCTCTTAAACCTTTTTACAATCCTAGTCAAACCAATCCATTTATTGTGTTTTCTGCATGTCTGATCTCATGTAGATCATGTGACATCTGAAGGCCATGCACGAAACCTCAACCAAAGTTTTTACATTAATTGTTGTATGTTTATTAGGGAACAATTATTGTCTTAAATTAATAATAAAGATAAGCAGTATGTAATTATTTTTCTTGTTTTTATACAGAGTGGCTTGGGTATACTGTTATATATCTACAACAAAAAAAACCAAAAGAAATATAGCTTAGGGGAGGGATTTTCAAAACTGTTCCTCATTTATTTGAACTGTATTCACACAGGGTGACACAAGGCATGTCGAGATCATGCCCATGGCACATGGGACATTGTGTCTGATCCTTAGGGTAGCAGATTCCAACTTAAGCTGGCGTGATGTGTTCGTGCGCTGCCTGTGTGGCAGCTGGTAGGCGGGCATGCAGGATGAGAAGGACAGCAGCATGCTGTAGCTGCTCCAGAGGCAGAGCAGGCATAGCTGCTATGCCAGGCTAACTGTGAAAATTCATGAAAATCCCTCTTTACGCTGCCGTGTTACAGAGAATCTCCTTCCATGGGACGCCGTTACTGACAGACACATTACACATCTGACTCTTGATTCATTTTCAGACCTTTTGGGTAAGGATCTGGTTTTAGCACAGCAGCAGCATGTTGTCTGTCACCTCCTCATTCTTCATACGATGGTTTGTATGTAGGCCTGAATCCAGGGAAGGAGAATGTCCAACTCATGTATGGCCTTGTAAATTCCCTTATCTCCGAGCTGTTGAGAAGATAAAGGCATTAGAAAAGAAACTACCTACAGCCCTGGAACAGCACAGAGGGGAGCCAGTGCTTCCTGGTCTTACCTTAAAAAACATTCTCCTTAATTTTTTGACTGCAGAAGTTAACCTTGTGGATGGAGCACATGGAAGCTGAAGGATGAAAAGAAATCCAAAGATGCTGATGTAAAGAAATAGTGATGAAGAAGAATTGAACCCACAGTGTGGCACTATAGGACTACCAGTAAAATGTGTGAACTCAGCATCATTTCCACTTCTCCCTCTACTTCAAATGTATTCTTTTAACTGCATGCTTCCTGTCAAGTTGAGTTCACAACACAAAAAATTGGTGATACGAGCTCTGTGGGTTTTCAAAGAGAAAGATACTTTCTTCCAGGGGGAAAAAAATGGAAAACCCAGGTGTTTTCCAATCTACAAACAAGGACAACATGTTTGAAAAAGAAAAAGGCAAAGGTCCTCAACTCAAATGGAAGGAGATGACTCCACTGAAATGGATGGTCAGATCTTTCTATCTCACACACAGTACTTTAAAAAGGAGCACAAACATTTTCAAGGTACCTTTTGTGCTTCCTAAAGGCAAGTCACATGATGAAAGTGAAAATAAAAGCAAACATTTTAAAAAAATGTAAATAGAAGTAAATTTTTAGAAATTTTCTAACTGAGACAGTTCTTTCTGACTTGGAGCTTTTTTTTTATTGATTATTTTTTTTTAAGTCTGCTTGTAGGATGCAGATTTCCACAAAAAAAAAAAGATTGGTAGCAAAACTGACCTTAAATGACTGTGCTGGCTTTAGTGATGATACATATTACAAACTCTATTCTTCCTGCATAAACAGGTAAATAAGTGAACTAGCAAGTTAGCTTAACTACTGCAAACAATACCCAATATCTGCTCAAGGTCTACAACAATGAAAGAGAAATTATTTAAGATACTGCAGGGAACATATTGTCTTTCTACGCTCCACCCAAATATGAGAAAACACTTCCATAATCCACTACTGATGTAGTCACATAAGTCTGACCTCCAAAGCAACTTCATACTGTTCTCAGCAATGCTGAGTAGGGCACTTGAGCCAAGAGGTTAGTGATGCTACAGATGGATACTCCCAGTATCCAAGGAAAAATGCCTGTTCCCTTTGCCATGTAGTCTTACACTAAATGAAAGAGTCTGATTTCACTGCAGAAAATGGGTTCAGAGATTTTAAAGTCTATGTATTTTTTAAAAACAGAACTAGGGCCCCTGTATCACTGGAAAATACTAAGGCTTCTTTGTCCGGACAAAATGTCTAGCAGGGTGAGAATCATAATTTTGTAGTATAAAGTATTTGAAAGTTTTTTGGAGACAAATATTGTTAATATTTAAATAGCATGCATGTCTCTAGCTGGCTGAATTACAGCCTGAGTTTGTGAAAGAGTGTAGGGTGGATATATATATACAAAGGCATCACTGTTATGCTTCATTATGTAGAGAACTTTATCCTTGAAAGGTAACAAATTCATTACATAAGTATGTTGTCATGGTGGAAATCCCTTCAGATAAAAATCTTATAACTCAACTACATAAAAAACCATTAAAAAGCTTATGTAGGTGGGTGAATGAGTGCTAATTTATTGAGGAATAATATGATGGAGAAATCTCAAGCTTGGTATTAACAAAGGATCTAGTACTTTAATTCCATTCACAGTTTCTATTATTCTTTCACATTTTTTTTTATTGTTGGGTTTAAATTAATATAAATTAATACAAAGAATTCAAGTGTTAGTTTCCAGAAATGAGATGTCTCCTAGAAAATCAAGGCAAGCCATCATTTCTCAAAGAGCTACTGTTTTTCTACTACCAGTGGAAGACTTATCTCTCCTACCAGCACTTTCTTAGATTCAGAAACATAAGTTGTTATGTTTAGACTTCTGTTGGGTAAAACACTGGCACTAATTATGAAAAAGAACACAAGAACTCTGAGAAATCTGCATCATTTTGTCTCCATACAGCACAGAAACAAATGTATTACTAAGCTGTCCAGCAAGCTACAGTCATTGGTGGTATTTTAGAATAACTGATATTCTGAATTCAGTCACAGTTGACAGTCCTCAGTGTGTACTGGCAGTTGCATGGAGTGTAATTGCTTTTCCAGACAAGAATGAAATCTCTGTAAGTATATTATAGCATCTGGAATTATATTATAGCATTCTGGAGTTATAGTACAGCATCATCTGGAATTTTGACAGACACAGATAACCACAGCAGTATGATAAATGCTGTGAATAATGGCTGTAAATGGTTTTAAATGTAGAACATGAAAACTGGTAAAGTTTTCTCCCATTGGGATTTGAATCTTTTTACATTATACAAATATCCCAGTTGGCTTCTGAGCTACAACTCTGCAAGGAGATCTCTGAAGCTGTTTATTCTTGCATAGCAAATATTTGTGTGAGCATAGAATCAATGTCCTTTTCTTTCATGCTACCATACAATTCAGATTAGACAAAGTTTAAATTCTTTTAATTCATAAACTTCACTAATTCATTGACTTCTCATTCTGGTCTCACTTTTTAAAATCACTATAGACATTTACCTGGATATCCATGGCTATATTTCACCCTAACTCACGCTGCACTTTTGGGGACACTGTGACTTGTGAGGATTACAGGTTTAGGGAATTAAAAAAACATCCATAGGATATGTAAGTTGAAGACACACTCTGTTGTTATTGGTCTACCATTAAAAATAAGATGAGAAATGATTGACAAGTATTGGCGTCATCTTAGCATCCTACCTAGTATGTATATTTGCGTAGGCAAAAGTGTCTTTTAACTGCACCTGGTCCACTCTGGGGACATTTTGCCAGTGGGCAGCATCACTTCCTGAAAACCTGCTCCAACTGGGCACAGGGGAAATGCTCCAATGTGCTTCCTAATTGTGGTTCCTGCTTACTCATGAGAGACACCACCAGTTCTTTCAAAATTCAGTGTGGAGGAGCAGAGAGGACATATGAGTAAAGGTTGCACACTTCCAGTGAGTACGCTGTCGAAGAAGGAAAACATCACCAGTGTTACATCATGGAAACTTGAGGAGCCACATCTGTCTCTGTGATCACCCTTCCTCTTTGCAGCTTTGGTGATGAGAGGGCAACACAAGGTGATATAATCAGTAGGGAAATGGCTTTCCTCCATAGGATCTCCACCACCTTGACCACTCCCCACAGGCTCACTCTGGGAAGAAATCAGCAGTGTTAAACTTCCCTGGCCCCAGTGGGGAAGCCGTCATGAATTTGGGCCCTCTGTGGTGTGGGACACACCATGACTGAATCACCTATCTGCTGAAAAACTGAGAGGGAGCCCTTCTTAACTTTTCAGATGGACAAAGTTAGTTCAGCTCTCTGGAATATACTCACACAGGCATCCATGTTCACTTGCAGGACCTGGAAGGCACTAATAATGTACAGCTTGTCTCTTCCTACCTCAAGACGACTGAAAACATTTTTCACATAGAAGGAGAGGAGCTGATCTCGAACACTGCAGTTTGTCTGAAAACGAACCAAGTGATGAGTTTCCAAATGAAAACCTCACAAGTCAACTTCAGCAGAAAATTTCAGCCTCACAAAAATATGCATGTTTGGAAAGCGTGCAATGAATAAAACCATTTTTATGTACTGTAGTATCCTCTTGTCCTGCTTCCTTTTTGAGCTACAACTAGCTCAATCTAGTTGTAGTTTCTGAAAGAAATATAGGAGGGTATTGTGCTGGCAGGCACAGAAGTATTGGTATGACCAACCATGAGCAGAAATGACAGCAACAAATGTACTTAAGACACAAAGAGTAAATGGAAGATGAATTGAGAAGTTAAGTCAGACGATCTTGTTCAAATTGTAGGAGTCATTGTGGATATCATCGTTCCGTTCCTCCACATCATGTCCAATGCCATTTGATATGCTGTAGGGTATCCTGCCCACCCCCAACTGCTACTCCAGAAGAGACCAGTCATTCTGTCAACCCTGTGTCACATCTGCCTGGTCTGTGGCTCCTCTTGAAGAGACCAGTCATCCTGTCAACCCTGTGTCACAACTGCCTGGCCCAGTGGTTCTCTTGGGCACCCAAAGTTAATTCAAATTGATACACACCCTATTTTTTTGGCAATATAACCAGGTATCAAGTGTGAAATTCCCATCGGAAGGGTAATGCAACTGCATATTACACCACCCAAGTGCAGATGTCCCACATGTAGGTCCCACAGGCAGGTGAGGAGCCTTCACTTCCAAGGTAATCAGTGAAATCCAAGGGACACTGAAGATCAGTCGGTCTGTACTTAAGGATAAACTGACTCAGTTGGCCCTGCTGACTAGATCTCTGCATAAAGAAAACTAAAATATCTCATACACTTGTAGTCACCTACAATTAGACACCCCAAAGTTTGTTTCTCACTCCCTTGCTGAGTCTTCCTGGGAACTCTGATCTCTCTCTTCCAGTGCACCTCCAGAGATCTAAGCTCAAAGCAGCTCCTTGGGTGTCCTGACTGTCTGCAGCATCCCTGGGCTATCCATGCACGCCCTCAACAGAAAGCTGCCGGGACAGTGGCTGTGGCCCTGGTCCTCATGTGAATGGGCTGGTGCTTGAGAGCATTGCTGGGGAGGCTGGTGTGCAGCCAGGGGCTCACAGGAGGAGCAAATGCTGCCATGAGCACACACTCCTACCTGACACAACAAATACTCTCACACCAACTTCCTTGACAGAGCACCACTGCAACTACCTAGAAAAAAGTGCCTCCAGGTAGGCTTTCCAAATTCACCTCTTTCTCCCTGTACTGTGATCAACTGTCCCCTCATGTGAGAATATGTGGCATAGAAATAACATTCTTCCTCTAAGCAGAGGACTTCATTAAGCATATGGCTTTCATAAATGTCCATCTAATTACACACAAGCAATTTTTTCATCACCTGTAATTCCTTTTGATGACATATTCCTGTCTCTATTGATAAAAGGAAAATCAAAATAAGAAACTGGAAAACCAGTATAAATCTTACCATAAACAGCATTTTTGTAGACTTTTTAAGCAGTCTTGTGGTCTTGATGAGATCCTTCTGTAAAATATAACGTGCTAGTATTAATTAACCTGAGTAGAAGAAGGGAGACAGAATTTCAAGTCTGGTTTGTACAAAAGTTAGTAGTAATAACAATAATCTTCATCAGGATGAGGACTCAGTAAATCTGTGTTCCAATCCTAGCCTAGCTACAAACTTCTTCCATGGCAAACTCATCCAGCCTCTCTATGCATCTTCTATGCATCATTTTTTCTTGGCTTTACAAAAGAAGTAGCTATATTACCATGTCTCTTAGGACTGTAGAGATCATTCAACTTCTTAAAGTTTCCTGGAGTTCAGTAATGAAACTGGTAAAGAAGCATCTATAAATAAAATAAACCTTTCGACTAGTGGGATCAACTTACAGGAACAGATGATTTTAAACTAGTTGCCTTGATATACAGGTTCTCTGTCACCTGGGAGAGGAGTTCTTTTCGGCAGGTATGCTTTCCTGTAGGTGACTTTTTACCTTCCACAGTGAAAAGACAAAGCAGAAATAAAAAATGCCCAGATCTGAAAATAGAACATATTTTCATCTTTGCTCCCAAATCTTCGTGCCTCTACAGTCACAGCAGCATATGTGACACAGCCAGACTCTTAGATGACAGAGGTTAACCTAATTTTGTTAACCCTCAAAGCAGCTTCTGCACCAAGATGCTCACGTAGATAACCTATTGCTCATGTGGTGGCTGATCAGTGCTCTTGCTGTGCTTTTTTATACATCTTGCTCCACTTTCAATAAATTTGACCACAATCATCTATGACGTTTTTCTAAACGGTATCTCCATATTTACCAGCAGCAGGGTCAAGGTTTCCAAGAAAGAAGAACTTCCCTATCATGTGATAAGCCTTCTTTCGTTAAGTGGTGGTCAAGTGAGGAAAAGGTAATTGAGTGTTAGTTTGGTTTCATAACAAAATATACCAAATGCGTATTTTTGAGTTTTTTTTTATTTTCCCACAAAACATTATGGCAACACTTTTCTGAACGGTAATGGTCCAAAGAGAAAAAAAAAATCTTTGTTAATTTACTCTGAAAAGCATTAGAAAATCTGTTATCTATAAGGAAGCTGGACTGCACTGCCTTTAAAACTACATTGTTCAGTTTTTGAGAAGCATTTTTTCAGGGGCACTGCAGGTAACAGCAAGGGTGTTTGTTGCCTGTTTTAATGTCTGTAATTAACTTTTTGCCAGGGCAGGATTTGGCCTAGTAGGAGCAGTAAGCTGTTTAATGTGAAAGTGAGGGCTCCAGGGAGGGCTCTGTGCAAGGGCCAGAGCACCCCTGGCTATCAAGTCACTTTAAAAGCCCACTGAGAGACATAGGCACTGGGAAATAATCCCAGTGCAAGATCCCAGCATACCCATCACAGAGGTGGTAAAAGTAAAACCATAGAATCAGATGATCACTCTTCTACAGAGGTGCTAAGCAGAGATTGGACAGTCTATGTCTCTGGCCTGTTTCCAAGATAGCCAAATGCTGAGGAATTCTCAGATATCACTCCAGACATGCAAGAACATCACTCCAAGGATAGACTTGGAAATCACAAAGTAACACCACCAATGTGAGGTTGTTAAAGCCAAGGAGGGTTGTAAGCCAAATGTCAAGATCCCCGAAACTGGCTGAGGTTTATGCAAGAAGAGGAAGAAAGCAGGTTTTGATCTAGCACAACAATACTTCCCTGATACCATATTTTTGGAAGCAAAAACAAGCCCTTGAAATGTCCACCAAGGACATAGTTTTTTACTCCTTTAATGTTTTAAGAGCAACACAGAAGACCTTAAAGAGATCAGAGAAAATAGTTTCAACTGCAACTGAAATGACTCAAAGGGACCATGATTTGCTAGATCCAGTGGCAGAGTTGTATGTCCCTATATGGCACCACTGGTGTACCAGTGCCAGGGACATTGTCAGCTCTGGAAGGAAGAAGGGTGAGACAAGCTGGGTAATGAACTCACTCCAGCCTTGATCCCATTGACCATTTACACAAGCAAGCATGCATGCATCCTCCAGGCCAAGCTTGACTCACATTCAGCTTCAAGGATCCCACCTGTAACAGCTCTGGGAAATGCATTTTTCCATAGAACCATCTACACCTCATAGTAGCTTCACCAGCACTGAAGTTCTGATGGGGTTGATGGACAAAAAGAACCAACAAGGGAAAGAGAGATTAGACTTTTGGAAAGTGAAGTTGATGGAGACCTGAGGCTCTACGTGCGTTTTAGTGTTTGTGTGAACTGTGGTCTGTATTTAAATTCTCTGAATGCCGGTAAGGCTTGCCAGGTGAGGTGCAGTAAACCTCAGCACACATGGTATATGGACAGAAGATTAGCCACTTACTCCTAATTCATTCATAGAAGAGGATCTTGGGTGAAAACAGTAGAGTTAGAATGAAAAACTGTCTTGGGTTTCCCAAGGTGTGGTACTCCTCAGTCAACACTTTTTCTCTAAATGGAATAAATGGGTCATGTAAACAGTCTGTAACAGCTTTTCATAAGAAAATCAATAATTTTCAACATCTCTGAAACTTCTGATGTTGCTGAAAACCCTTGAGCCCACAAGTTTCATTTTATCTCTTTGAACTTGTACCACCATGCTCACGTGGCTGGAGCAGTGACACTTGCATTGGGCTCTAGACACCTCTGCACGTGAAACAGTACAAGTATTACTGAATTAGTAAACTTTTCAACAGCGTGGAGACCTTACTTAAAAAAATTAATATATAAAAAGGAAATAGGGCTTTCCCATCTTTCCTTTCATAAAAGAATGGTGGCTAGTATTTAATAACCACAATTTTTGATATGCTGATTTAATTTCTAGTCAAAAAATAGCCATATTCTTCAAATTTTTCATATGTTATTTGTTCAGAACAAAGATGGTCTTGTCTTTCTGGGTCTTGTGTAGCACTTTGTACACTGTGTTTTACTGCCACGTAGGCACTCAGACATAGTTATGGTATAAATTATATAGAATACCAAAGAATCCATATTACTCAGTATTTTAAAGTTATAAGAAGTAGAAGAAGAAACAAATTCAGGGACCAGTCCTTTTAGCAATGAAGACAGAAAATACCTCCAAAGCTTTGCATATGCAGTGGAACTGATGTATCCAGAGATAGTCTGAGACAACAGCAAAGCACATCACAAAGCAAGTTGGCTTCCAGACCTGGGCTGGAAGTTCAAGGAGCCTGCCCCGGAGAAAATGGGCTCTCTCTCATATGGAAAATTTTAGATGTACAGTATCAACAAGTAATCAAGGAACAATTCAATACTGATAACACAAGCAAAGTTCATGTATTATGTTTATACAAAACGTGTAAAGCTAATAATCATGAGAATGAAAGAGAAAGAAAATAACTAAGAAAAAAGAATAAGAAAAACTAACAGAGCAGTCACCTTATTAAATAAGAAAATCTTGCCTGATTTACCCTGGGTAACGATTAAATTTCAAAGGCTATGATGACCTATGCTCCACATGAGTGCATGAGACCACCAGCTGAAGAAGGTCCTTTCTTCACTGTCTTATTGTGAACCATGGAATTGTCTTGATCTACATGACTCCAAGTAGATATTATTAATATTAAATTCTCTTGATTTATGTAGAATGAACAGATACATCTACCACCGTTGCAAAGTTCCATTAGTCCATTTAAGGTAACAATTATATCTGCTGTTTTTTTCGCAACTTAAACGGCTTTCTAATCTCCATACATAAAAAGCCCAGTCTAGTTTCTTACTTAAGAATCTTCTCATTTTTCACATTTTGTGTTTATTTCATTTCCTGTTAGTATAACTAGGACTAAATTAGTCGTGTACTTCCTATAAATATTACTCATATTTACTTAGCTGCTGTTAATGTTCTGCTGTCTCTTAAGACTATTCTCTACTATTTGTATTGTTCCCTTATCCTGTTTGATTCACTTTGGTCTTCTGAAAAAAAGAGGTCTACATGATAGCTGTAGTATTTGTCTTCAGAAATGTGATTTGATAAGTAAAAAATAAGTTTAGTGAGATTTTACAAAAACTGAGCATGACAACACCACTGTTAGGACATAAGAAAATTGAGATACCATAGTTGGAGAGAGAAGTTAGAATCAGAGAAGCTCCCAGCATTCAAAACTGATTCTGCAATTTTCTGAAAATGGTTGTAATGAATATAGGCATGTAGGTAAGCTTTCCATACCCACCAGTGTTTAACCTCTGTTTCTTGTAACCTTCTATTAGCATAATAGGAACCTTTGGAGCTGCTATAGACTTTGTGCAATTACCGAACTATTATAAGTCAATTTTTCAGACAAAGGTTCCTAAATTACCCATGCAAACTCAGCACATAGACACCTGACAATTCACTGCCAGCAGCTTCAATAGTCATAAAAGTTAGAGGAACAGAATAACGCAAACAGATGGTATTAGCAGCTCTAGCTTACATATTATACATACACTGCTCTGGTTAGGAAAAAAACCCCATATATATTAAATTGGGACACTGCAAAGAAAACTAAAAACTTTGAATGCCTAGGACTGGATGTCAGTCTGGTGCCTTTCCCATCCTTGAAAACAAAATCCCTATGTTTGTTCTCATGACACACCTACATTACATTGTGCCTGTCTAGGTGCTCCTCAACTGCCTTTGCTGAGGAGCAACAAAGGTTTAGGTTGGAAGTGACCTCTGGAGGTCATCCTGTCCAACACTCCTATTCAAGAAGGGCCACCTACAGTTGTTTGCCTGGAAATGTGTCCAATCAGGGTTTGAACACCTCCAAAGGTAAGATTCCACAACTTCTGTGGTCAACCTGTGCAACTAAAAACTGTCTTACCATGTTCAGATGGATTTTCATGGATTTTTATTTGTGCCTATTGCCTCTTGTCCTGTCACTGGGCACCACCAAGAGGAGATTGTCTCTCTTCATTACTTTCCATTCTCAGGCATTTATGCGCATTGGTAAGATCTCCCTGACTCTACCCCAAGTGGAATAGTCCCGTCTCTCTCTGCCTCACCTCAGATAACAAATAGTCCAGTCCCTTATTTATCTCTGTGCTACTTCACCATCTAATATTTAATTACATATCTAAGGTACTTGGAATTTTTTCACTCTATGCCTTAGACAAGCGTCATAAAAATTTTAAGGTATTAAGTAAAGCAGAAATCAGATTCAAACTCAGATGAAGAAGACAAAGCAAACCAACCCATACCAAAGCAAATAAAAAAACCAGACCCAATTACATTTCTTCTGGGCATTTGCATTTCTTCACACTTTATTAATAACAACTTTTGAGTAAGCTTCAAATGTGAGTTGGTGTAAAACATACTGTCTATCTGCTCCCATCCTCAAGAAAAAGCACAGACTGATTCAACTGGTGGATTTCCCAGTGCTACTGGCCTGCTGTGTTGTTTCAGTTTGATGATAGGTGGCCAAAAATTGTCTGTCAAGCTACTTTTACTTCAGACATCTGATAGGAAGGTTTAGTACATTCAGTTTTTCCAGAGGCAGATTACAGAATATACTCAGAGTCCAGTTTGAAAACACCAAGATACTAAGATTTTGCCTCTGTGCACAGAAATAGACAACAGTTCAAGTTCTCTAAGCATTAGCACTTTTTATGGCCAGCAATTAACGGCTTTGAAAGAACGTGCAGCACCACCTGTATAATTCAAGATACTTTTCAAATGTCCAGTTATGTAGTTAAAAATTAGCCATCACTTCATGGCTAGACAAGGAGATGAATTTGACATAAAACCCTTCTGTATATAGCTTTTACTATTCACATTCTTGCAGACTTATATTTGAGAAGAGAGATTATGAAATAAACAGATATGAAAGTGTTTGAGCACGTTCACATTGTTCCTATTAACCAGTCAAGTGATCTCACTTAGCTACAGTGATTCAGTCCCCAAACTCTTCAGAAAACATTCATCTGCCACCACCAAACTCACTCCCTGTACAGCAGGATTACTACAGAGTGTACAGATGTGTTCAGCAACAACAGACAGCTCAGTTTACCCAGCGTAGGCAGGTGGCTATTCCAAACTCCAACCTCTTGTGATGTACAGGGTGTTCAAGAGTCTGTGACCTGATTTCTCTTGTGATGTCGTCATGGCTTTATAAAAGGGTTGTACTAAAATTAGGAAAGGAAAAAGCCAACCACACAAAAATCTGGGCTCAGTTCTGGGGGAGGAGGATGTCCACAGCTGCTAGGCTGGTAGAAGTATGTCAGTTTGCATGGCACCACTCCTATACTGGAAAGTTCTCTCTCCTTCTACCTTTGTGCACAATTTTTTGGTTTTCTCTCTCCTCACGATTTTTTTTAACCTTTCTTGCTTCTCTTTTCAATTTTGTTTAAAGGATTTTTTCCCTCTCTGTTCTTTTAACCCAGGACATCCCTGAGCATCTTGCCAATGCCAACACAGGCTGCCCACGCAGCTCTATGAGCAACATTAACTGGGAGACTGTGAAGCTACAGAAACTACAGTCCACATCCTGGAAAGATTTCTTGGTATTGGAAAAGAACATTATTTAAGACATGAACTGAGCAGACTGTTCAGAGGCAACTGTCTCCTGTAAGAAACAAATTTTGAAATGTAATTTAAAAGAGTAATTTAATAGAATGTCTGGGCAATGTTCAGAAACTACAGTGATACATTAGGACATATAGAGGTATAAGTAACCTAACCAGACATTGGTGAACAATACTGGCACTGAAGCTTTCAGCTGACATGACAGGCAAGAAATTGAACCATATTAAGAAAATCATTGTAGTTGATCTTTATTGGAAAAAATAGTCTTTCCACAAAAAAACCCCAAACCAAACCAAAAACTATGTAGAAAAATGTTTGCTTGCAGTGTATTTCCATAGTTTCAGTAAAGAATTGAAGTCATCCATTTCATTAGGAGCTAAAGCTTTTCTGAAAGCTGAGTCTTAGCTTTAGCCTTCCAACTTTGAACACCAAAAAAACCTCCCGCACAGGCAAGTGTGAAATACTTGCCAAGTCATCTCTCAGGACAGCTTTCTTACAAGTGAGATTTGTACCAAAATCCTGGATGCTGTTGGTCTGACTGCTGCAGAATGGCTGCAGCCTTGATTCTCCAATGGTAGCACCAAGAACAAAAGCAAGAGAAATAACAGTGTGGTAGGCAACAAAACGATTTTCCAGAGTATTTTTCCACTGGAAGTGCCATTCTGCTTCCAATGAACTTAAACCTTTTGGCAATAAATGTGTTTCCTTCTGTTATCTTTCCCTCATAAGCAGTCCTTGAGCTCTGAATAGTCTGTGACCTTCAGTTGAAGATTGCTGCCATGGGGCCATCTCCCCAGCTTTCATTCAATAACGCCTTCATGTCTCCAGATTTCTCCGCTTCCCACTGTGTATCTTCCTTCTTTGTAAAGTGGGGCTTTCAATGAACCTCATCAGTAGGGGCATTTTGGGGGGGAAACTTATTTATTTA